GTTTGGTCTTAAAAATGCCTTGTCCGGTGAGTCGAACCCGTCGTTCCGCACTTGTCTCTTAGAAAAAATTCCCTTTCATGTTCTTATGTATACATATTTTTTTAGCCACGCATCCTGGTTCTTTGACTGTTACAAAGTCAACGCAATATGGCCAGTGAGCAAAGCTAGGGCTGCGGCTCACATCTGCTCATCGTACCAGCGGTACGTCTGGCGTTCGAGACTGCGCCGGGATGCTTCGGCAGCGCCGCGGTGAGTCCTGTTCGCTGGCGCGGCGATTAAAAAGGGGCGTTGGGGCCACAACTGAAACAGTGGTGCTCAGTGGAGCTTTTCCCTTTGGGAGCTTCCCGGGCCGCTTCTGCCGCTGTAGCCGCGCTGTGGCTGGGTTGTGGCCAGCACATCTGAGGATTCCTGCCTGTAGGTTAGTGCCTCCTATTTTATTATCCAGGGGATAGCTGTCAAGTCTTCCCTACCCCCAAAAGTGTGGGTTTTCGATTAGTTGGTAGCTGGTCATTAACTACGATACCTGCTTGGTACTTAAAAACTTCATTCCACTGTGCTTTGAGTAAATAATACCATTTCTTTTATAGTCCTTACATTTTCTGTGTTAGCAACATTGTAAAATGCAATTTGAATTGAGATCACTTTGTGCAGAAAAGTTTTCAGTGCTTCAGTGAAAGAACAGCTCTGCCTTCTTTGTAGCCTTTATACCGAGGGCACTTACTGAACGCTTCGAACTATTTAGAGAACATGACTTCAGCTTCCTCGGGGAGGGGAGAAAACCCATCCTAGAAATGTGGGGCTTTTTTGACCTGCTGTTCTTGACTGCAAAAATCACGTTTTAATCTCGGATGTCCTTAAAATTGCTGTGTCAAAGCGGTAGGCACTTGAAGAAAAAGTGAACATTAGTTGTGTGCGTCTGGTGCGTGGCTCTTGCGTTCCCCAGAGATGCATAGCACAAAGGTCACCCTGCAGCCCTCGCTGGCAGCCCGGGCAGGAACACCAGGAACAGGGTGCCCTGAGGGAGGGGTGTTAAAGTGGCAGGCTCTGGCTGTGCTCCATCCCTGTCTTCAGCTTCTTCCCCTCCCAGCCTCCCACTTGATGTTTTACTTTTGGATTCTTTGACTCCTGTCCTGAGAACGTTTTGGTTTTCTAAAGCCTTTTCCAACTGACTGGGTCAGAAAGTAAATTGTTTATTGTAGGTTTTGTTAGGGGTTGCCAGTTCTGCTAGCCAAACGGAGGCGAGGCCGCTTCAGTGCTGCGGCCCAGATCCAGCCAAAAGCGAGGCTGAGCAGCCAAGTCCGACCATAGATACACAACACGTACATGAATGTATGATATATGAGCTCGGCTTTGACAGCCTGGAGCGGAGCCAGGACAGCGGCTCTGCTTCTCCACCTAGTTTAATGGGGTTCCCCTGCCTGCCGCAGTGCCCCGGTGCTCCTCCGCGCCCGTGGAGATGAGCCTTTGGTGGGGTGATGGCTCCTGAGGGTCTTACTTGGCTTCCCCCACTCGCTGCTGTGCCTCTGTGCTCCTCTGTGTGTAGATGAGCTTTTCATCCCATCACCGAACACCTTTCAGAGCCCAGATTGTCTCTCTGCCCCTCCTCTGCTTCTTTCACGTGCAGCCTATCACTGGTGGAAATGTGTAATTTTTCCATTTTGCTGCGTTTGTCTCTTCCCTGGCTTATTAGGGTGAAGCATAGGGAGAGGAGGAGGGAGAGCGGGAAGAAGGCTGCTGGTGTTGCAACTTAAAACCTACTTGTGGAAAGGGAGTGGGGTCACTCTTGTGTCCTTTGTATACTTTTTTGGTTTTTCCTTTTCCGGATTAACTTCAGTCCGGCAGCTGGAACACCTTTAAAGTTTCCGTGGTGCCGGGAGAGATCGTTGAGCTGACAGTGAATAATTCCTAGTGTCAGTCTACCAGTATTCTTATTTCCTTACTCCGGAGGGGTCGTTTTGGTCTATTGGTATCATTTGTTCGATTGAGGTAGGATACTGCGTGCTAGCACGTGCTCTTGTGCTGGACACCGACCCTAGCTGTGCCTGAGGAGTACAGTGGAGGAAGGAAAAAACTTGTGGACGTTAATTTATTTTTTTCCAGTTTAAAGAATGCTTGAATTCATCGTGTGTCGGGCAAGCCATGGCTCAAACCTGGATGCTGTAGCAGACTACGCTTTCTGGGTCTTTCTGCTTTGCTGTTTTCCTCTTCGCGGTGAAAATAAACCCATAATTTATCTGCGCGGCTTTCCGCCACGTGATATATCGCATGCTGTGCATCCGGAGATGTACAAAAAGATGAGTTGTTCACGTGGATAATAGCGACACTAAGGTGTATAAATAAGAGTTCTCCATTATCTTGCTTCCAGCAGTCACGTAATGACTAGAAAACTGAAGAGACTGATGGCCAGTTGCACAGGGGAAAGGCTGGAGAGAGGCGAGGGCTTGACCAAGCATGGATCCTTGAGGTCACCAGGATTTGAATGTCAGATGTTAGAGGCGTGGTTTTTTCACTGGAGAAAGTGTGTTGCCCGTGGAGTAGCGTGGGAAAGACTGTCAGGAAGAAAGCCGTGAAGGTATGCGAGAAGCTACCTGGCATCTAAATGCCACCGTCGTGTTATGGAGTACTCGGGAGATCCCCTTCTCATTCTGATTACATTCCTATTTTGGAAAAGAATTGAAGCCACCTGACAGGAGTCCTCCACAGCTCTTGTCCTTGCGAACGGTTGTATGCACAGATCATCTCAGACTTGAAGGTTACGTAGTTTGCTGGCTTGGTGGGCTACGCTTGGTGGTCCGCAAGGTCCGTGCAGAGTTTAAAAGTCGAACAAAACATTTCTGCGAGAATGCAGGCATAATTCCTATAATTCCTTTTCAAAAGGGCTGGGAACATTTGCCCACATTGCCCAGAAAAGAACTGTAGGAAATCTCAGCTTGAATGTTTGTGCCTGCCTTCGGAACGTAAGTGTCTGAGTGAAGAAATTGAGGGGGGGAAAAAAAGTAGCACAAGATTATGATGCAGAAGAGCTCAGACCTGGGCTAGGCTTATGCCTGATACTTAGGTGCTTGATTATGCCTTAATCAGCTGGGTTAATTGCAGTATAATATTGCTCCAAGGCCTTTGAGCTCTAATCAAGGATGAGGATCTGAATCAAGGACTATAACTGAAAAAAATGAAATAAAGATTTTTTTTTTTATTATTTTTATTTTTTGCAAGCCTTTGAAAGTTTACTGGCCACAACCATAAATGAATTGGTTACCAAACCCCAGACCTTGTGCTTGTGATCTCTTCCAAGCTTATTATAATGTTCTCACCGAGGACTCTTCCAGGCGTTGACTTCTGAAGCCCAGTTGAAAAGCTTTAAATGAACGGATTCTTCATGGTTAATTGCAGTATAATTAAAGGAAAGGGAAAAAAGTCCACACCTAGATAAATCCTGCAGAAGGCATCGCCACAAAGGCACTAAATTTAATTACAGGGATAATGATCCATTGCCTACAGCATAAAAGGAAAAAATACTTTCTCTTCTGATAGCCTCAAAGTGTGTCGG